TAATTAAAATTCGGTTATAAAATAAAATTGGAATAAATATCGAGGGTATAACTAATTTCATGGCTGATATAAAATACTTATGTTATAAAACAGCTAAAATATTCTTATCTGGAATTGCAACAAGAGTAAAGAAAGAAAATGCGAAACAGAGTAGGTTCAGTGGAAATATCTGTTAGAATTAACGCGGAGACAGTATGAGAGCGAACTTTCTAAATCGTAAATGTCAGTTTTCTCGTTCGGCGAGTTGCATAAGCATAGTCGTGCGCAGCTAAGACAAAATTACGTAATGAACGACGAAATAATGCCGATCCAAGAATTCGACGGCAGGTCGGACAGGTTCGATTACCTCCGTCTACCGGAAACGCCACATTGGTTTCCGCCTACGGTAAGACCGCGGTAGTATTATCGTCGACAACATTACAGACGCCGCGTTCAATTGCCCGAACAAGGACGGCCAATACGAGGACAGCAGGCAATGCGACAAGTATTACGAATGCATCGATGGCCTAGCAACGGAGAAGCTGTGCCCGGACGGTCTTGTGTTCGATCCCTTGAACCGCAAGGTCAACAAGTGCGACCACGTCTTCAACGTCGACTGCGGTGACCGTCTCGAATTACGTAAGACAAACGCAATGATATTTCATGAAGAACCGTTTTGAAAAATCAATACATCTATTGTTGATATCGAGTACAATTTCTTATTTAATGATTTTTTTTTATGCAACATCTAGAATATTATCTTTATTAGTAATTATTAATTATATAAAGTTTTCTTGTTAGAAAAATTATTATTTTTATAATTATATAAAAAAATATTTCTGTCTATATTCTTATCTATTTATATTTGTGCAATAAAGTGCGTTTTGTACTTGATTGATATGTCTAATTTAATCAGTATTATATAAATACGGTATTTATTCATTCACGTTAAAATGTTGAATATAATTTTACGATAATAAAGCTGCACGATCGATTGATTGACTGTCTTCGTTAATAGAACCTCCACAGCCAACGAAGAAGTGTCCGCGACGAAACGGTTTCTTCGCGCATCCCGACCCGACAGTGTGCAATGTCTTCTACAATTGCATCGATGGAGAGGCAATCGAAATCACTTGCACCACCGGGCTGCACTTCGACGAATATAGTGGAACTTGCGTATGGCCGGATAGCGCAGGTCGCGAGGTAAGATAATTTACTTTCTAAAATTTTTAGAGCTAATTGTCACTGAAGAATAAAATCTCACTCTTACAGAATAAAAATTGAACCACTTTTTTTAAGACTAGCTCAATTTTTACTTTTTAATTCTATTCCAAAAAGAACTTAAAGAGTACACTGGAGCAAAAATTGACTGCGTTAATTAGAATTTTATAGTTGAAAATGTATAAATCAGAATTTTCTGATTGGATCTATTATAATTCTGGTTAAGATCAAAATTCTGATTTATATGATCAGAATTTTCATTTTCAACATGAAATTTTTTTCAATGTAAGAAAAAATTTATTTTATTTTACCAGTTACGACACGCGGTGTGTGTTACAATAAGTTAATTGACGTTAAAAGTTCCAAGAACGAAATCTTTTACATTATACATGTACACGTAACGTAAACGCATTTCGCATAATCTTAGAGTTGTTCCGACAAAAGTTTAGAGCGGTTGATTCAGAACTGTAACAAAAGCTATGTACTTCTCCGAAGTTAGATCTTTAATTGAGAGAAAGTACGCACTTCTAATACACCCCACAGCGTCTATACTTTCTCCCAATTACAATTACAGATCTTCGGGTAGGTCTCAGATATTTCCTTGCAATTATAGTAGGAACTAAACAGTGCAATTCTGTCAGCATTTGAAATTAGGAATCAGTCAAATAACATTCAGAACATGCGAACAACGAAATCCTAATCTTTTGCTATATACAATATAATATTTTCTATTAAATTTTTTAATACCTATCTTTTTTAAATATTTATTGTAATACCTATCTTTTTTAATTAAGTAAAATGAAAGTATTCGTAAAACAAAACTTAGAAACTAAAAATTAAAAGTTGTAAAATAATATAAAGAAAATTAGAATGCCTAATATTAAAAAACGAGAGAAAACATTCAATTTAACGAAGAAAGGCCAATAACAAATTTTTCGAGAAATCGTTAAGTTGAGCTGAAATCAATGCTCCTCAATGCAACAACACAATAACGCAGAAATGTGCTGTATGATACAGGGCTGCGGAGTCTTAGGCAAGAAGCTGAAAGACGGCTTTGAGTGCCCAAGCGAGACCCAGGTAGACAGTAGAGGCATGGTAGTTGACCATCCTAAATTTGCGCATCCCGAGGACTGTCAGAAGTTCTACGTATGCCTAAATGGTGTGACGCCGCGCGAACAAGGCTGCAGCGATGGCACCGTCTACAATGAAGAGCAGCAAAGGTGTGATACACCTGAGAACGTCCGTGGATGGTACGAGTTGATTATTATTCCGTCATTTTGTTTTCATATTAATGATCTAGCAATTAATATAATCACCAAAAGATCAAGTTCGAGTAAATATGTTGACATCGTCTGAATACATATTAAATAAAAAAACTTCAATGATCCCAATAATAAACTTTTTTAATATTATATGTTCAATTTAATTAATTTTCAGTTATAAACATTTTTTAAGATTTAATTTCTTTTTTGCTATTTGTATAACAAAATTATTAAGATATTATAATATTATTATTATTATTATTATATAGTTACATTTTTATGAAATTTTATTTTGAGTTAATTAAGTTACTGTCGTGCTTTATTTAAAAGTTCGGAGAATTTAATAGCTGTTGTTTACCTTGCAGCGAGGACTGGTACAAGGACGAGAAGCCGTAAGGAAGTCGTCCACACTCATCTGTCCCGCATCGGGACGCCGCACATTCACTTTAATCACGTGTCACCTCCTTCGCCCAGCGTGTAACTCCATGTGTGTGTTTAGCTATTTGAATGTCTCGGAATATACATTTTATTTTTACTTTATTAGTCTTCGATCAGTTAATCGAAACCTGATTTCCTTTCCTTAGTTTCCTATTAATTAAAACGCCTCGGATTAAAATTGAGATAACATTTTTTTTTAAAACTTATTCAATTAATTTAATTATTTATGTAACGAAAAGAACTTATAATAATAATGAATTTGAGTAAATTCGTATAATTAACCCAAGAAATCTTAAATAGAAATTATAAATATTTTATCACGGAAATATTTAAAAATTTATATTGTTATAACAATATTATTTATTTCGACTATTAGTTAAAAATGTATATAGACCTTTTAAACCTACAAATATTTCTTTTCTTTTTTATTTTTCGGGTTTCAAATAAAACATAATTTATGTTATATGGCAAATAAAAAAAGAAAGAAGATGCTATTATTAAAATTAGTTAACTGTGACGACACATTCCATTAATAAAATAACTTTAATTTTTCTCAAAAGAAGTTAATGGTGACTCAATTGTCGATCAATTCTTGAAACAATATTCAAGGAACCTGCAAAGGCCTTGAATCATTCTTGTTATGAGATCAGTTGACTATCACTTTCTCCTGAACTGCTCTCTTGATTCTCGTTCTGCAATTCACTTTCTCTCTCTCTCTCTCTCTCTCTCTCTCTCTCTCTCTCTCTCTCTTTCCTTCTTTCTCTTTTTGGTATTATATACGTTATTCGTACAAAATACGAACGAGAGATGCACTTACTCGTTCTACTTTCTCAAATGTTTGTTAATGGCAAAGTAAAAAGCTCTTACGCCAAAAAAATAAAGAAAAAGTAAAAAAAAATCCAGATTATTCTTAAGATGCATCATAAAATAAATTTTAAATTTATATAAAAAGAAAAGAAATATTAGAAATAAATTATTATAAAGTAAAATTAGTAAAGCGTCACAAAAAAACAATTTTATCTTTTTAGTAGTAGGTTAAATTATTTATGCACAATATTCTCTCTCTCTCTCTCTCTCTCTCTCTCTTTCTTTTTCATTTAACTTTCCAATTCATGAACGTCTGTCGCAAATGCCACTTACTGAATATTTTTCAAAGATTAAATCTATGTTAAAAAAAATTAAATTTTGTATTTTATACAACGTAACAATGTCTAGTTATTGCAATATCCTATTTGTAAATATAATTTTATTTGAAAATAACTCAAGAATTTTTTAACGGTATATTTTAATGCTATTGCGAAATTAAATGACGTTTTATAAGTCTTCCATTTATTATTAAATCTATGAAATCATATTTTTCTTGTTCGCGAGTTATGAAAATTATCAATATAACTCTGGTACTTTCAGTTTTTGAACATGGCCAGAGACACTACCGCGTCTCCTGATATATTAAATAAATAGATAATTGTTTTTATATCTACTGGATCGTTACTTTTGTTTTCTCCACAATCCACAGCTATGAAAAAATAGTTTTAGATCTGATATATAAATATGTAATTGACATATAAGAGTATTCTATTAATTTATTATATTAACTGTTCTGTTAAATAAATAAATAATTGTCTTTTCAACGAATCCCACGATTTCTCTCGTTCCGCTTTCAAAAATATCTCGGACTAATAAAATTAATCAAATTCCAAGATAAACGTAACACAGCAGTCACGTTTGCAATGCGAATTCCAAATGTGAAATGAGGGATGCAAATCGTGAAATGGTAGCACAACAGCAACGACCCAGTCTCACCGTCAGTACCCGGAAATGTCTGGAATTTATATGCACCGATAATAACGCAATGCAATAAAACTTGCGTCTATGCGTCCAATAGAATGCACGTGACGGGAGAAAAAGAAGTAGTGAGACCATTACACGATCAGAAAGAAAGAAAGAGAGAGAAAGACAGGACTTTCGGCGAAAGGGGGGCGAAGCCGGGAGAAGGGAGGGTCAGGGAAATGTGCAGCAGCAAGGACCCACCAAGGTGGTGGCGAGACTGTCGAGTGAAACAGAACCCGTTTACCCGTTTCGGACCCGCAGTCACGTTTTATCAGCGTCACGACGCGCTGCAGACAAAGAAAAGGACGAGGACGATAAAGAAAAAAAAAGGAAGGGAAGAAAGGGGGAAGGAGAGAGAAAGAGCCTACTCAGGACAGTAAATTTAACTGCTTCAAGACGGAGATCTGAAAGACTTCGTAAATCTCTTTAGGACTCTCTTCAGGATGTTAGAAGTGGGAAAGCACGTGCTTCTTCATGGTCTTCTACCACTAGTGATTCTGGCGACCTTGAGCGAAGCTCAATTCCGGTGTCCAGAGCCTAAGGGTTTCTTCCCCGATCCCGAACAGTGCGATCTTTATTACGCCTGCGTGGATGGTCAGCCTGAGGAGAAACTTTGCAAGGATGGACTCGTCTTCAGGGATGATAATCCTAAAAAGGAACTCTGCGATATACCGGCGAATGTGCCTTGCGGTGACCGCACGCTTTTGCGTAAGTTCCAAATTATTAAATCCTCTAAACTTATTATAGATCTTTTTTAATTATTATAATTAGATCCATCTAGATTATCATGAATATAATAAATTAAAAGAAAATTCGTGGTCTTTTGTCGTTTTGCTCTTCAGATTACAAATTAATTCTTTGAATTATTGTAATATATGCCAATCAAATAATTTCATGCATAAAAATATTATATACTATTTACAGAAAAATATTTTTATTATTATATCTTTATTATTATCTTTATATTTATATGCTGTTTCCAAATTGATAAATTTCTCGTTCGAAAAGGAGTTTCTTCCTAATAATAGTTATTCAAATAAAGAAATTATATGTGCGTGAGAGAGAGAGAGAGAGAGAGAGAGAGAGAGAGAGAGAGAGAGTTCTTCTATACTTTATTCATATTCTCCTCAACAACTCGACAAACTAGAAGAATGGCAGATTAAATAGTGTCGTAAAAATAGAACTCGATATAAACCGGTTTTTGAACGAATGAACAAACGAATTCTGTCTCTATCTCTATTTTTTTTTTTGCGTTTTCTTATAGGTAATAATAATTTAACATAATTGTATAAAGAAAATTTTAATTAAAATTTAGCAAAAAGTATATTAAAAAATAAAATAAAACGCAAGATAAATTTAATAAAATTATAATCAAATTTAAAATAAAAATATTTGATATGATTTTTTAAATCTTTATTTTAGAAATCAATATCAATATTAAACATTATTCATTCTAGCGATTGAATATTTAATTTAATCGCTTTAATTAAACAAATAGATTTTATTTGTAATTATAAATTTCTAGACAAAAACTTGGATCTCAACAGAAACACATTCTAGTGTATTACAATTATAAAATCATTAATATACATTATTAAGGCAAAACTCAAGTAATTATATACGCATTAATGTTATACAATATATATAATAATATATTACATTAATTAAACAGAGGAGCCACAACCTAGCAAAGGCTGCCCGCGTGCAAACGGCATTTTTAGCCACGAGGACCCGACTGCGTGTGACCGTTTTGTCAATTGCATCGATGGAGTAGTACAAGTAGTGCCCTGCCCGCCCGAACTAATCTATGAACCCAAAATGTCGAGCTGTGTTTGGCCGGCAGATGCCATTCGCCTATGCGAAAACGTAAAACGCGATATCCTGGACGATGGCTTTGTATGCCCAGACGGCGACGTCGCCGGCCCGTCCGGCAGAATCTTGCCGCATCCCACGTATCCGCATCCCGAGGATTGCGCCAAGTTCTATATCTGCAAGAACGGTGTAGTACCGCAAAAGGGCCAATGCGAACCCGGCACCGTGTACAACGAGGACAGCTTCAGATGCACGGAACCAGAATCTGTGCAGGGATGGTGAGCTTCTCTTTTCTTTTTCTACATTCTTTATATTATTTATAATATATATATATATATATAGAGTAATTTTCATAATTTTTGTGTATTTTTAATAACAGATTTTCTTATAAATTTTAAAGTTGATTTCTCAGTTTTTTTATTCTTAATTCTTTGTCAATTATTCTTATATTATATGTCGATAACTGTTTGCTAACGTCTCTATTTATTTTTAATTTTCTTGTCTAAATTAGGCTTACTTTGAAAAGTACATCTTAAATTGCTCTTTATAACAAAATACAATGTTTCAGCGAGGATTATTACAAGCGTAAGAACTGAGTCGGAGAAACAAGTTAACCGCAACGTGTGTAATGCTCATCTTTTTACTCATAGGAACAATAAATGCATGCGATACGCATGCTTACGTAAAAGTTGCTGCATGATCTTTGCGAGAGCGATCGCGCTTTCGCCCTTCCCGCGACGAATCACTACCCCTTTCTCCTTTTACGTAAACAAATTTGCATTCAGAAAATCCGTAATAAAGCCGTTGTTGGTTGCGGATCATTAACTCGCGCCCGCGAAAAGAAAACCCCGCGTTCCGACGATATCAAGTTCTATATAATATCGGTTAGATAAACCCTCCGTTCGAACCGGTCCAATTTTATATAATTATCGATTATGTCGAAATTTTATTGTAAAAGCACGTAAACGCAAGACAAGCGCCCGCAATTCCGCGATTAAATAACTTAAGCAATCAAATTTATTTATTATATTCTAATAGGAAAATAAGTGTTTCATTTTGAATACTATTTTTTACTGTCATTTAGTATAACATCATTTTTACTAAATGTTGTAATTTTTACAACATTTAGTAAAAGAATCACAATTATTATAATTATTATTACTTGATAATTATATATATTTTACATAGAGTATGGCCAGAAATTTGTTTACAAATTTTTTTACAAATCTAGAGTTTACAAATTTATAGTTTATTTTAGCCACAGATTTTTACTAAGTTATTAGTCAAAAGTTTTTAATTAGTTTTTATAATAAACTAAAATTTACTTAACATAATGACTTATTATAATACTTAAACATAAGATTCGATATTTATTTTCTGTCCTCTAATATATAAATATTAATAATAAAACTTAATTCTTTTACTTGCTGAGAATGAAAGTAATATATAAAAAAGAGCCAATATTTGTATCGAAATATACATAATGTAGAATAGGTTCAACTTTTTATTTTATTAAAAATATTAAAAATGTTTAGGCAAGTTCTAACATATGTGAGAAGTACACAATATAAAGAGACTAATAAAATATTCAAACATTGCAATATATTTCATTTTATTTTTAAAAATAATAATATTATTTCCCTTAAATCCTGAAAAATGTTCTTGACGAAAATAATCTAATTATTTAAGCTAAAAGCTACAAAAAGATTAAGAATTTCCTAAAAATAGTATTTTTTAAAAATATAATGTACTATTTTATCAAAAAAACTTTAAGAATACATATAAAATAAATAAGATCCTTATTATTATAGGAATTATCCATTATTTAATAAAGAATAATATTTAGTTTTTAAATCCGTTTAAGTTGAAAAAAAGAATTTAAGTAATAATTCAGAAATTTCAAAATAACTTTAGTAAAGTATAATAATTATCAAATTTATCTATTGCATTGATATAATAATTTAATATAAGTGCTAGTATCATATAATATAAGCCAAATCGTTAGTATTTATCGTATGTTTTAATGAGCATGACTTTCTCTGACGCGAAAATTGCATTTCAAAAACCTCCTCACCCCACATTACTCCAGAAATACACTCGCAAAATTATATCTTCAAACGCATCCTGGATTTCTCTCCGCCGAGTCAAATGTCAGCGTGAGAATTAATTAAACCATTCATCATAAGATTTTACATTGCAACATCTGACATTACAGATGTTATACCTTCAGTCGCATTTACTTTTGAGAACTTTTGGCACTTTAATATATATATATATATATAAAAGCAAAGTCAAATCAATTATAACAAATTACAAAATATTGACATTTTTTGTAGTTTATCACAAATTGTTTCATTATTTGCAAATTATTTGCTTCACAATTTTCATTAAACAGTATTGAAAATTTATTCTTTATATTTTATATACTTTCAAATATTGAAAAACTACTTATAAAAACTACTCGGCGATTTGGCGAGATTTACGGTGTACAATAAACATGCCACGAGCGAGTTTTCCAAGCTAACAATTTCTCTTCATTTGCCTGATAGCAACCTTTCTCTTTACATAATTCGCGAAGCGCTCGAAATATATCAATTTGCATTTTGTTTGCAATGTGATAAATTCGATAAAAATAAATTTTCTGTTCTTTTAATACGTTTGTAAGATAAAATGAAATTAAAAAATAGAATGATATAAAAATATACTAATATAAAAAATATATCATAATGTATACAATGTAAATATTTTCACAAATAAGATAACATGTGGATTTTCTTTTCTTTAAACATTTATCTATTATATTATTTTATTATCAATATCGATAGAACGAAGCATAGGATACCACACAACTTCTTTACTAAGATACATTATTTTCCTTATGTTTCTCTAATATTACTCGTATATTTTAGAACAATTGGTTCATAGAAAGTCTAAATTAATTAACTGACCGTCATCATGACGGTTTCAATTCGAACGTCTGATCGATCTGTCGACTTGTCTGGCTCGCCTCGGCTGCTTTCACTATCCGGCAATCTGGTCCCTCCTCCTTGGGACCAGCGTGATGGGTCTTGCGTAAGGCTGGCTAAGACTCCAGGGGCCTCACCGATGTTTGTACGTATATATCAGCGTTCGCCTCATGTTAATATATCGAGAACACATCTATCAGAGTACACGTTTTAGTTATTACACGTGTTCGTCAATTATAACTCATTCAGTTGGTGCATATTACATCGTCTTTGGGATTAACCATTACACGTAACATGTCCTTGCTGAATTACCATATTCCATTTTCTCCGGAAAACTCGCTTTTCTTTTTAAAAAACCGCTTTTAGCTAAAACGTGTATATGCACGCACAAGAGATTGAGTTCTCATTAATAATTATAAATTAAAAAATTTGGAGTAGATATTTTCTGTGATTATATAATTATATTATCATAATATATTTATTATATCATTAATCCCTAAAAAAATAACTGTTTAAATTGGACATAATTCATTTGAACAAAAGCCATTAAAATTATAATTTCTTAATTAGAAAGAACTCCCTTGATTAATAGCGATATCTTTCAAGTACATCTACTACAATAACACATTATGAACGCAATCTTTCAAACTGTTATTTATACGAAGCGTCGAAAGATACGATAATGTTTCCATTTGCACTGCCGTTCACCGAAAGCGCATAAATATTATTATACGGCATTCAGCATGCGGAAAAATAACGATCGTACTTGTGCAACATAGTTGAGTGCAGAGTATTTGCGTCGAGGACGTTGCATCCTTAGATATTTCGAGAGGTGCAGGAAGACTGTGCTTTGGCATTAAGTCTAACGTCATCTTTTCACACGCGATGCGTTCTCTCGCGATTTATCGCGATGCCGCGAGAGATTAGAATGATTAGAAAAATGATGATCGCAAATCGCTTCTGCGGTCAAGAAATATTCTTCGTTTCTTCATACAAATGATTATGTAAGACGTACTGAGTGCTAAACTGCTAAACAAAGATTTCTCGACAACTTTTCTGATGATTGCCGCAAACGTGCCTATTATTGTTGCTATATCGCTTAGACTTAATTAACTTATCAATATTCAATTATTATGTCTAGCTTTTTTCCCTTAGATTTTGCGTCTTGATGTCAGGCAATGTGTGTGTATCAAAATTTAAATTTCATTAAAAATTAATTCGTAAAATAATAAAATTTAATTTATCATGTCTCATGTTGCAAAAAATACCAAATCCAAAGAACATCCAGCTATTACCTTCCGATCTTGGCAGAATCATTTTTATCTCATTAGCTTCTAATTCGCGACACTTTTGCAGGATTTATTGGCTGAGACATGTTTGCATCTGTTTTGTACATATTGTAGAGAACTCTTTCCCGACTTTCTCCAACAGCTTGGCAATTTATTCGGCTTAAATTCTCTTCTCTCTCTCCAAATCGATATATCTCGCGACACTGAAGGATTCAAGCGTGGCACCCGAACAATTCATCACGCTCGGCGCCGCTGGTCGGCAGCCCGAGCACGTATAGGCAAACCAGCAGTGATCAAAGGAGATCCTGGTGGGGTTTGGTAAAGCCGCGGTGAAGGGAGTGAAGGGTGACGGGACTGTTCGGAGGTGTACCGAGGCCGACACCTAAAGTGCGCGCCAATCGCCAACTCCGCCGTCAGAGACAGTAGTCAAGCCGAACAGAGTGCCGGAAAGATGAGCTATTCGAGGAGCGTGACCCTGCTGCTGCTCCTGGCAGTCCTGGCACGTGGTAAGTCCACCACCACCGCCACCGCCAACCACCATAACCCGCGAGGTAGTTACCTTCACCTCGCCTACGCGCGACCCTATACCTCGCATCGTGCGTGCATCTTCGCCTCGGAATGCGCTTCTCGTCTTCCTCTGTGCACCGAGGACTGCCTTTTCGCAGGCGTAATTACTTTCTTCTTCTCCATGGACTCCTGACAGATTGCGACATCACCCTCCGCGAGGCTTTCACCGACGAGACACCATATGTTAAGATCTGCGTGTGTGACATAACGGAGAACATTCCGAGGTGATCGATGAAAAATGTAACGAAACAATCTCGACGTAACTGAGTTGTGGAACAGGATGATTTTTTAATATTTTTTTAATAACACTAATTTTATTTTTTTTAAATGTGCTTAACATTTTGTTAATTTTTTAATGATTGTTGAATGCTTTATTTATATTTTGAAATTATTTCAAGAAAAAATCTAAATATTTTATTATTGTTTGTGCTGTTTTGTCTTTTTTTATATTTCTATATGTAATCATGATGCCTGTCACACACCTGTTGTCGCAACGCGCGTTTGCGAAAAAAGTTCAGAATAATCGACATTTACAAAGCTGTCATGCGAATCGAATCTTTTCAAGTCAATAAGTCAATCAAACTTAGCCGATAAAATACGTTTTTCATTGATACATATTTTTGTTATCACTTATTTGATTTGAGCAAAACAATATGTTGCAAAACATGTAATATTTTGAAAAAATAAGCACTAGAAGTATACAATTTTATATTTCGTACATTCTTTCCATATAATTATGATAAAACATTTTAACTTTGTTCTCCACATATACATATATTTATACATTTATATAACGATTAATATTAAACACTATAATATTTAAATGTAATGTATAATAATACAATACCATAATTTATTTTTATATATACATAATAAATTATAGCATTTTATTAAATATTATATACAAATAATACACATATGCAATTAT